TGTGTGTGTGTGTGTGTGTGTGTGTGTGTGTGTGTGTGTGGGTACCACGGCGTGCAGCTCCAGGCGGCGGCAGTGCTCGCAGTGGTAGGAGTCCTGCCGGTAGGGCAGGTGTTTGGACATCAGGCCCAGAGCCGCCGTGGCGAAGGCCGCGCTGATCAGGTGCAAAACCAGGGAGCATTTCACCTGTCAGGGGTCAGGAGATATTACATACACTGTACTTAATCTGTATTTTTTGTTTTTTGTATTTATTTATTTGTATTTTTCTGCTTAATTTAATTCTAACTTGATACTTTTTGCCCTTTAAGCTGCTGGTAACCTTAATTTCCTGAGGGAGTCTTCCCAAGGGATCAATAAAGTACTGTCTAAGTCTAAGTCTAAGGAGTCAGGGGTCAGGGGTCAGGGTTAGCTACGACTACCCAGGTTAGCATCCTATGCTATCACATGATCTATGTAAAGGTCTGATTGTCTTGTTCCTTATAGAACTATATTTTGTGTTAAAGTCTCTGGCTGTGTCCACAGTTCTCTCTTTTTCTCTCTTTTTCTCTCTCTGTTGCATTAGATCCACCTTTAGGCGGGGTTCGAAATTCGTGGGAATTTGGTATTAGGGTCAGGGTCAGGGTCTTTTCAGAATTTTTCTTAATATTTTCAAGTTAATTAAGTACTTATAAATAGCCTTTCTGCTGAGAACAATAAACACAGGCCAGGTACTCTGTTTTGGGGCCTTTGGGTTTAAAAATATCGAACAGTCTGCTTGTTTTCAGTGTTAATTCATGCGGATTCTAAAGCTCAGTTATCCAAAAATATTTGATCATGTTTAATAATTCACTTTTATCTAAGATTTATCAGCATAGCTTTTTTTTAGCAACTGATCAATTATTGAAATGTCCATTAAATTATTTATATGGTAGCTCTAATTTAGTGGGAATCTATCAGACATAGAATCTATCAGGACCCAGAAAAAGATCGGAGATCTTCTAGTAGTGAAGTTGATCCAGGTCTCCTTTTGCTCCTATAAAGCTTTTGAAGAGCATATTCAGAGATCTGCATCGTTAAACAACCAGAGACGATTCTCTGTGATCTAAACGGAGCAGACAGACTCACCCAGAACAGAGTCGGCTTCCTCCCACTGTGGACCAACACCGCACCGGACAGGGTCACCTTCCAGAGCAAACGTAGAGAAACTGGAGTTATTCAATGCTAACATTTTAGATCCGTATGCTAACATGATGAACACACTCACACATGCTATTCAAACACATTTATCTATTTGAATAGGGACAAAGCACATTAATGAACATCAGTCAAAAACAAATGTAAATATGCCGGATTGTAGCTACAAAGCTAATTTTCATCCGTAGTCCGTAGGCAGGCAAAGGCATAAAAAGTAACATATAATAAACAATATAAGCATCACAAGTAAATGTTTAGATTTTAGTGGTCACATGACTGGTTTGCTTTCATCCTTCCCATTTCCTTCCCTTGTTGATATTTTTTATTGAGAAAATAAGCCTTTATGTGCTTAACGAGGTCTTATTTGTGGCAGGTTGTGATTGGTCGGCTCACGGGAAGCAGCAGGATGTTAGCATGTTAGCATTTTAGCATGTTAGCATAAATTAATGTGCTTTGTTTGAGTGTTCCCGTTCCTGGAAGCAGAGGAGGAGGAGCAGCCATCTTAAAATAGACCACCAGTCAGTCTTAGACCAAAGCTCTCAGATTGGATCCCGGTTAGTGCTGAGAACAATTAAGGGGTTTATAAAGTCGATGCTACTAAAAAATCTGCTGTTGATCCTGAAGTGTTCTCACATTATAAACCCCGAAACATCAGGACACGATTCCTGTTAAGAGGGATGGTTTTCTATCTAAAGCCCCCTTTTATATATTCAGGATTGGATTTAAACGATGTTTCCTGCAGTTCTTTACTCTGTGTATTAAATAATAATCATATTATAATTATATTTTTTTATATTTGATTGGATCATGATGATTTCACAGTGACCTGGACTCTAAATGGCTTTAATTAAAATGTAATTTGTTGTGATTTGGCTCATTGAGTGTGCCATACTTTATTGATCATATTGGAAGATGCATAACAATTTTTTTATCTCCTTCATACACATAATAATGAAGACAAGCTGTGTTACATTTTTGATCTGCCCCAAAAAACTGAAAATTTGTAGATTCCATTCATTTTAGATCAGAAAATTTGAGAAAAAATATGGATATCATTTTAAAATGGTAAATTATCTGAAATTCTGCTTATTTATTTAGAAACAGGATGAATAAATAAAGAGAGACTGACCTGTATGACCACGATCAGGAAGAGGGCCACGTCCCCGGTGAAGTGGACCTCGTGGATCTGGAGCACAGAGGCGCTCAGACACAGGATCAAAGCCCCGATCACAATCTGGATCGCCTGGTATCGGGAAAAAAGTTTAATTAAACATAAGAAATTGTAACGTAGTTACTCTAGAACCAAGTTTGTTTTTGTTTTCATGATCTAACTCTCCTGTCATTTCAGATCCGGCCCTTCCCTGTCATGCAATTACTCATTCCCCCTCACCTGCTTCTCTCCGCCCATCTCCTCACCTGCTGCTCATTAGCTCATTTGGCATCCAGTATTAATACCACTCCCTTTCCACTTTGTCCCCTGCCAGATTGTCTTGTGTTGTTCAGTTCCAAGCATTCCAGCGTTTTCTTGTTCTGCCTGCCCGTTTTGACCTCACGTTTGCCTCCCTGGATTTTGGATACCTGCCTGCCCCTTGTCGGATTTGTTTGCCTCTTCAACTGATCTCCTGGTTTTGACCCCTGCCTGTTTTTGGACTGAGTAAAGTGTTTTTCCCTAACTATTTGCCTGACTGAGTTGTCGTGCTTTTGGGTTCTCTGTTGCCTGGACCAGTGGTCCTGACAGAAATAATCAGCAGATGAATGACATATGCAAATTACACTCTTAACTTAATGACATCCAGTCAAGTTTTCCTTTTCTGACAACATCTGACAATGATTAAAAAGGTCTTTGTGTTGGTAATAAGAGTTAATTAATTAAACAGACTAATCATAAACGATGTCTAAAGGGTAATACTTGTTCCACTGGTCTTTTGGAGCTCAAACTGAGTTCAGCTGTGAATAACTAAACTCTCCGGAGTCCAGTTTTTATCTGGTTCTGCTCTGTTCCAGATCTCTGATCAGGAGGAGCTGATAGGTTTAAGAACTAGACTTTGTTTTGGTTCAGGTAGTTTTTCTCCATAGAGGCTCAGTGGGTTTATCTTTAGATTAAAAATGTCTGTTTACAGATTTAATTAATTTGGTTCTGAGGGTTTCTCCCTGGAGCTCAATAGAGTATATTCAATCAATCAATCAAATGACTTATTTACAACATTTTAACTCCACAATAAGAACACGATTGGTGGAAAATGTCTGAAAGCATTTTCCTTTAGATTAAAGCAGTAAAAAAGCATTAAAAGCTCAGATTTCTGAGCCCTTTGAACACAACAATGATTTTCCTTCACTTAAAGATCTAGAAATGCTAAATTTTCAATGATTTTCCGGAGATTTCCCCAAAGGTTTTCCATTTAAATGGATCCCACACAGTATCCTCTCCTTTCTCAGGTCACATGGGACAGCAGCCCTGCTCCCATTGGCCCGTTTGGATCACATGTCTGAAAGCATTTTCCTTTAGATTTAAACAGTAGTGTCTGATAGCGTCTGCTATGAGGCCCAGGGGTCAAAGGTCACAGAGAAAAGCAGGATCCTGGTACAGAAAGGCAGCGTCCTCCATCAGAACAGGAAACCAGGAGGTTAAAACAGAGTTAATATTTATTTTTCAGTGAACGGTTTGAGCCCCCAGAGACAGTGAATCACAGACTAAAATCTGAAATCTGATCGAGCTGAGAGGGATTCGAGGATTCGGACTCACTCCCAGAGTCTTGGGCTCCATCTTGAGGTGGGACTGCAGCTGGCCTGCGGAGAGGCTCCCCGTGGGGGCCACCGGGTCTTTGTCATTCTGCTCCATCCTGAAGAACCACAGAGGAACCAGAGGGGTAAACAGACAACAGTATCAGACCCAGAGTCAACAATCTTTCACTTTCATTTAAAACGGACTCAGGATGCAGATACAGGGCCCTCCACAATTATTGGACATTATTATTATTATTATTATTATTAGACAACATTTTAAGCCATAAATCCTCGACTGGATCCCATAATTACATCTGTATTTCACCATGTATTCATTCATTTGATGAAATATGTTTTTATGTCACACTGTTTTCCACCAGTTAGGAGTTAGGTTATTATAGTTATTATATAAATAACAGGGACAGAACAAAATCAGGTTCTTATGTGGTTCCTATGTGGTTCCTTTGGTTCCTGTGGTTCCTATGTGGTT